TTATGCTATGTTTTCTTGAACTAAAATCTTTGTTTTCAGGTAAATGGTCTTTTACAGTGAAAACAGCACCATGGTGTCATGATTTTCTTAAGAGATCTGACCTACATGCAGTAAACCACTCATAGAACCATGGTAAAAGTTTGAACAGGTTTATTGATGAAACCAGCGGGGTGGGATTCAGGAAACACAGTGAACTGGTGAACTGGAACTGGAAGAGGGAAGGGAAGTATCAGTGGTTAATTCAGGATCCATGGGAACTTTGAATGATGACTTGGAGAGACAGAGAACGGGACTCACGTTAGTGGAGAAAACTTTCCTCCCAGAATCCAGTTGGTGTGGGTTTTTCCAGAGGTTGTGACTCGTTGGAGGGCGGACGGGTATAGGCTTGGTTAGACCCAGAGGAGCTATTGAGCTGACTTTCACTTGGGAATCCAGGAGGACTTGAACGGATGTTTGGAGCATCCACTGTCCGTCCAGCTTGCAGGAAGGATTCCTGTCGAAAAGGCAAAGACTAAAACTAGGTTAGGCTCAGCGAAAAACAAAGACTAAGTTAAACTCAGCAAAACTCAGCTTGGCTAGAGTACCCAAAACTGGCAAACACTCTGAGGTAGTGACAGTCCATGGCTCAAATAGTCCTCAGTGATGAGTCAACCAGCGGCAGGTGTGTGAGAGGACCAACAAGGACAGGGCACTCTTCTCTCCTTCCACCACCAGGTGGTGACCTGGTGGTGGAAGGAGAGAAAACAGGAGGGAACACCTCTCTGTCTCATTTTAAAACTCTTCTTAAAACCCACTTCTTTTCTTTGGCTGTTGACACCATGTAGAGTGTTGATTTTATGTATACACATGCATATTTTTATCCTGTGCAGGCAGTGCTTTTATTTTATTTACTTTTATTTTTATTTATTTTAGTTATTTTATCTTTTTGTGCAGCACTTAAGAAACCTTGTGTTTATTGAAATTGTGCTATATAAATAAAGTGGATTGGCTTGGATTGAAGGAAAGAAAGACACAAAAACACAACCCACACAAACTGGATTCATAACGGGCAAGGGTTGAAGCAATCCGGTAGGGGACTGATGAGAGGGCTTGTTCCAAGCGCAGGTCGGGCAGGCCAAAAACGTCGACTAAGAGCCACAATTCGACTGATACCTGGATGGGCAGAAAACTTGGAAGTGTGGAGCTAGTTTATCACACGAGCACGAATGGATGAAGGAACCAAAACTCTGTTGGGGGGTCTGGTACCAGGGTCAGGCTCAGACTGTTGGGCCACCCTCTAGAATAAATCCCAGGAAGGAGACTGAAGGCCTATGGAACTGACATTTCCCAGCTTTGATGAAAATCTTCTCTATCTTCACTAGAAGGTGCTGCAGTACTTGGCGGACATGGATCCTGTGTTCAGACAGGTTTTTGGAAAAAAAATGAGTGTGAATGTGTCAATGTACACAAAAACAGAAATGTTCAAAAAATATCTCAGGACATCATTAACCAAGGCCTGGAAACAAGCAGGTGCATTAGTTAAACCAAAAGGCATCGCCAGGTACTCAAAATGACCTATGGGTGTCATGATCTGGCCTGTTTGCTCCTCCTTAATTGGATATCTTCCTACCCCATTTTGAGCATGATATGTTAATTGAAACAAATATCTGTATTTTTTTCTCTTCTTTTTTATGCACTTCTTGTTACTGTGCACTATTTTATTTTTTTTATATTTGTTTCATGTTCGAATAAATTCCATTTCATTTCATATTTCTTTCACCTGCCGTTTTCCCTTAGCCTGGGTGCCAGTCCGAACTTAGTCCCGCCCACAAGGTTTGAGTTCGGGGAAGTTCGGTCTGGCTCTGCTCCATAGTAGCGTGAGTATGATCGCCCACTGTCAGGCGATCCAATCAAATTGTCAGGGCGGGCTTTATACGATGATGGACAGATGATCAAGAGTAACGTAATCAACCTTTTGACTAAAGCGCGCTTGGGTGACTACAACAATGGCTGCCGCCGGAGAGTTGAG